TAGGTCGCAAAAATGTCTGACACTCTCCTTTTTTTATTTGGATGTTTAATAGAGAAAGACATTGATTGCAAACTATTTATTACTGACCGACAGAGGTATCACAGTGTTGGCCGGTATATCCATTTGCACATGCGCAATAGTATCCTGGGTAACCATAGTTGCGATAACACGTACCACCATGACGACATGGATATATATAGCAAGGATCAAAAGTCGTTGCCTCGTAGTAGCCTTTCAAAATACGTGTAAATGTTCATTTTTTTTTTCAACATAACCTCTTGATCTTAGATAAGAGTTTAAGACGTACAGTGTATGCAATACTCAAGAATGAGTTTAAAATACCTCAATGAATTTTGACAATGGAAATTGTATCTTATGAATTTTTATGATATCAAGTCCATAATTATTTGTGACAGAGTGATAAATTAGTATTAAAGTCTTACAGTTTGACCCGGTGTATCCGTTTGGACAAATACAGTAGTACTCAGGATAGCCATAGTTTCGTACAAAACACGTTCCACCGTTATAGCATTGATGTCTACTACAGGGGTCGTATGGGGTAGTTTCGTATTCCGTGGAATTGGCTGTTTTGCAAAATAAAAAAAAGATAAATAAAGTATGCTCCAATTTCCATTTGGTATGCTTATTACAAATAATCTCTTGTAACAAAGTAAAAAAGTATCAAACTAAACATTAACACTAATTTAGAGAACAGAGCAAAAATAGTTTTAAAGAACTTTATTCGGTTATAACCAATATTTGCCCCCCCCCATCAAACTTTGACAGAGAAATATTTAATTATGTTCTTAAAAAGGGGGATATAAGCTGACTTCAAAGCAATGAATATTTTCATGTGCAATGACGTCATATGTTTGAAATGACGTCACGAAAAGGACGTAAAATTGAAATGTCCATGATTTCTACAGAAAATTGTATATATTACGTCGATGAGTAAAAGTCACTGAGCGCAGGTCTGATCAGGCTCAATATTTTGATATAATATGTAGAATGATAATATCAATGAAATATGTAGATATTGTTCTTGCGCAAACTTGAACTCTATAAATTTTAAATCTAAAATTGTTGAAATTTTGTCCATTTTGTCCTCTTTCTAAAAAATGATAGAAAATCGGACTAGTTTGTGACGTCATCAATACAAAAATTCTCAATAAACTACTTTGAAACTATTATTTGTTCTGTTAATTTATATTTCATTTTAAGAATTTTTCAAAATTTGACTTTAGTGGGGGCAAAGATTTTCTTTATTGTCCTTATGCATATTTATGAATTCTTTCTACTGAGTTAATCTGTACCTCTGTACTTACTACAGTAGACTCCTGCATCCTCCGAGTGCCCACAATTATGCCTTCCCCAACCATTAGAACTACAGTAAGCTACGTCACTCTCATATCCATGGCAACCTAGATCATCTAGCCATATTGGGCCGCTCCCTTGTCCATAGTGGGCACTCTGGTAAGTTTGACTGAAGATACATTATTACGATTTCTTGTAAGTAAAGTTGAAATTAATTATCATTATATTTAGAATTGAGAACATGAAAAAAAAACCTGGAATTCAAGCATGTTTAAACCAAATATATACAGATAACTTATACATTAAAAAAAATGTCTACAATCAGCACTCTTATAATAAATTTTCTTACACCGAGGTTCTTCACATTACCTTGAGTGAGAATATCCCAACATCCTACAAATGACGTCACCATCTTGTTTATCAAAGCTGTCGTCACATATGGTACCCCATTGACCGTTATGAAGGATCTCTATGGTACCCTTCCATGGATACCCAGTATCAATAAGTCTTATTCCTAATATCGGTATAATAATATAAACATAAAATGTGCATTTATAAATGTCCAGCTTTTTTTTTTCAAAATAACATATAATTCATTTATATATATATATTTTTTTTCAAGTTTTGAATAATTTGAATTTGAATGCTTAAGGTCAAGATCTAGTAAATGGAAGGTGCCTACAGATTTTTCAAATTTAAGAAATTAATTTCTTTAATGATGCTTTATAATATTAGCTTGGTCAAAAAAGGTGTTTCGGGGCATAATTTGTAGAAAAACAAGATGAAAAACCATATTTTAAACTGTCATTTTCAATGAAAAATTAAGAAAACCAGTCATGAACATAGGCATTTTTTTTAATATTCGACAATGAAAATGTATTCAGATTGCCTACAGTCTCTCAGAAAACGGTTATTTGTATGTTCAAAGACTCTGCTTTAAAATAATATTAAATTTAAGATAGGTATCGGGACTACTTTTCATGTGATTTCAAATTGAATTCCATGAAAATATTTTATTTTCTACATAATACTATTAGAGCCGTAAAGTACGGGAAACAGAAAGTTGAAAGTGAATATGACGTCATAATGGATTTAGCACTGAAAAGTTATTCTAAAGTCATTTACTAGATCTTGACCTTAACTAAACTTGTAGATATTTTTTCTCAGTGAGTTGATCCAGAATCTGGAAATCCCCTTAAATACATCGTATTAAAAAATGTGGATTATGCTGCTTAAAGCATATTTCATTGTTCATTAAAAAAAATGACTGGATAAAACTTTCAATTGCTTAACAACAAAGTACATGTAAGGATATTGAAAGCCAACTGAGAGAAGTATGAGTATCAGTTTTCTTAATTTTCTCTTCCTTTTTTATGGTTTCAAGTTAAAATACCTTATGCATATGTAGTTGCGTTATTCTATAATGGTTGCAATGTAGCATTTGAATCCTTTTCCAGGTATCTTATTTCGTGTATTTCTCCGAATCAATATTAATAAATAGCAAAAATGCTCTTCACACAAATAAATTCTTGTCCAAGGGTTTTTCTGATAAGTGTATCGTTCTGTATATATTTTGACATAAAATCTAAGGAGCTAGGTTCCCTATCGGCATGAATTTGCTGTTAATTGATAAATTAACGTCCTCTGTCCTATTTCAAACATCAAGATAATGTCTTAATACTTTTCTCTCTTTAAGAGCTTAATTTATGTGAATCGGGATTTGTAGAATCACTTATTTCACTGAATTTTGTAGAAAAACAAGTGATTTCAGAATGAAACAACAGCTATGAAGTTCAAAAGGCTGAAATAACACAGATCGAGAGCAGCGCAAACGTAGACCCCCAAAAATATCAGAAGTGGGATAAGAAGCCATATAGGAGTATGCGTCCCCTGTCTACCAGTCACATCCGCCGTGATACCTTATGATCGGGATAACGGTGAATTCCGTTCATATGAAATATTTGGATCGAGATCATGAACAAGTTTTCAATATCAAAAGTTCGTAAAATAATACAAAATAGGAGCAGAGCGAACACGGACCTCCAAAACATTTCAGTGAGTTAAAAATAGCCTGACAATAAGTACTTAAAGGTACTTGGACACAGATTTGAATTTATTATTTTCTCTATAATATTACGACTGATACATTTTAATAGCATTTCACACAAAAATTAATTAAAAATCTTATTTCATATAAAAGATATTAAAATTTAAAATTTTTTGGCGGGTTTGAGTGACACATCCTTGCACTTTCACAAATCAATTTTACTCTTAATCCTTAGGAAAAGAGGCAATATCGTTGTGTATAAATGAAAAATATTAATACTATAATGCAGAAAATTCAGAGTAGACATGTTTGAAAGCAAAACAAACAATATATTGGCAGTCCGTGCAGTTGTGGTAAGCAGACTGTGACGACTGAACGCACCCGGTGAATTGTAAACATCAACAAAAACAGAACTCGTGCTCTGTTTACAAAAAACTGTGTACATAACACAAGTTTGCTCGATTTGCTCAACTCTATACGCAACTCTTAGTTCGGAATGACGATATTTGTGAATGAAATTTGCTTTCTAACATTTCTACTCCGAATAAAATTATTTTTCTGGATAAAAGTTTTAATATTTCTCATTGATACACAACAAGATTGCCACTTTTCCTAAGGATTAAAAATAAGGTTAAATTTGTGAAAGTGCAAGGATGAGTCAATTAAACCCGCCAAAAATTTGAAGTTTTAATAACTGAAATAAGATTTTTAATTAATTTTTGTGTGAAATGCTATTAAAATATATAATTCGTAATATTATAGAGAAAATATTGACTTCAAATCTGTGTCCAAGTTCCTTTAAAGCGTCAGTAACATTCGACTCATCGACAGATTTTTATTTGTTGACTAGGTAATTGTATCGACTATTAGAATCAAGAAACATTCGATCTTTTTGTCAATAGTTTTGCTCGTTTTAGAAAATGTGTTACCAGATAAACTATAATTAAACATTTATCTTTGTATGCATGAAAAAAAATAAAATTTAAGAAGATGAGGGGATAAGGCGGATGAAGTGCCTATAGTCCGACAGATAAGAAGTGGAAAATTTAGTCTCAATTATATATCCAAATTTTATTTGATATTTCATCTAATATTTAAGTATACTTAATGTAAAATCTACAATTTACAATAATCTTATAAAGACTGAAAATATTTGCCTATGTAAAAGCAGACACACACTAAAAACAACAAAAACGATCATTTTCTCATACTTTAACAAAATTTTTCGATATGTTGGTCTTCGCTCCATTTTTTTGAAAGATAATCCTAAAAGTGTGCAATAAAATATGCATTTTTGCTTTACAAAAACATGGAGCGAAGACCCACTATACCCTTAAAGTACACTTTTATGACAACGCATTCGCATCTTTCCGAGAAATACTGTAAGTACATTAGTAAAGGGTCATATCACAAACATGATTTAAATGCCAAAAGTCATCATGTAGCCATGTAGCATAGTGGTTAGCGCGTTAGTCTCAAAGCAAAATGATAATCATGCGACCGATTTTTATTGCTAGGGGTTCGAATCCCACGAATATCATCTTATATTTTTATAAAAGAAATTTTTTTGCGAGATTTTTTCTCTCAGAAAAGGTTTTTTCCTCATAATTTCATAAATTTTATTAATGAGAAGTTAATTTAAGTACTCAATTCACATATTGAATATGATTTATCAATATCCGACGCTATAGGCATTCTGCCCGCCTTGTTCCCCCATCTTCTTACCAAGGACATCACAGAACAGGTACAAGGCATTCGAACAGTAATGGTTTCTGTATTGTACGAAACAGTTGTCTATGTTTGTATCTGGGCAGTTCATATCCAGGGTCTGGTAGGGATAGTTTGGAAAAGAACTGTAAAATAAGTAAACGAAAACATCCTTTGAAAGAATAATTATACACAAATATCCAAATTTTCCAAAAAATTCTTTATACATGAATATATATATAGTGGCCAGTGCAGTTCAATTGTATTTAACAGATTTTCGAAAGCGCGTTTTTTGTTTTCTTTTAAAAAATAAAATACACGCACTCATGATCAGACTGAGATTGCAATCAATGTTTACTTTATTCGTCTTAATAAGGCACATTTTACCATCTTAAATATATTAAATAAAAACTTCCATATGCACAAGGTCCTACGATACATACTAAAAAAGATTTAGAGGATTGCTCAAGGACATTTCGAAGTAAAAAAAGAAATTTTACTTACACTTATATATTATATTACTCTATTTTGTCATAGTTTTGAAAATCAAGAAATATAGGCTTAATTTTCGGAAGTGTCCTCAGCAATGACAAAAAGTGGGAAACACAACACATGAAATATTGCGATGTTTGATGATTTTTTTTTTCACATTTTAGTAAATTTAAGTAAATCTTTTTTAAGAATTGATTTAATCACATGATTAAAAATATGAAATTATCGATACGTTTTTAGTATATGGGGGAAATCAAACGTTTTTATAAGTAAGAGTCCTGAATGCCTTAGATACTTTGACGTTATTCCACGCCTTAAGGTGAAACCTGTAATTAAACCCCATATAAAATATTAATTAACGCTAGAGGTACTGTGAATACTAAGCTCGCTAAATGATACCCCGCCTCCCATATAATTATATAATGGCAAAGTGCATGTTTTGCTCTGGGAAATGTGTCGGATCAAAAAGTAAACTAAAAGGTGCACAATGTCTTTCTGTAACAAAGAATCTGTGAAAGTATCATGAAATTTTATTCTGTGGTATAGGAGGAGTTGCAGATAAGAGAGGGGTACCCTTCAATATAATAGAGAGGATGGCAGGTCAATGTTTCGCTATGGGAAACCCGAAATATGCGTCCAATCAAAAGATAAAATAGGAGATGCCTACTGGCACTATGTAACAGACAATCTGTGAAAGTCTCATAAACTTTCATTCAGTGGTATATAAGGATTTGTGGATAAGAGATGGAGTACCCCAAAGCGTAATGGATGGACGTAGACAGACGGACGGACGGATATCCCGATCACTATATATACCCTTCCACTTCTCAAGCAGGAGTATATTAAGTTACCTGTTGTAATAGTGATAGTGATACCCTTTTGTCTGACAAAGTGCTTCATATGTCTGGTTATTTACTCCATCAGCACACACTTCAAGACTATTTACGTAAACTTTACCCTGCATTCCGTTTCCGAAACCGATGTACACACTGGAGTATCCTAGAGGTTAAGGAAGAAAATGTGACAAAAGTACATGTACTTTCCAGTGCATGAAATAGAATCAAGATGATTTAAATATTAAACTCCCGAAAGATAATTTGCTTCAAAGAGATACCTCATCTTCTTGTAATATTGCATTTTAGTTCATACTTTCAAACTAGCACTGTTTTAATTAAACATATTTCCCCATGAATTGAAGAATTTTTCATGAAACAATTTTTTTAAAAAAGGAACCTATTGATACGCCTAAAAAGCTGAAATTGCTTTTAAGATATTTTATCGTCGCTTCATACTACAATGCACGTAGTAGGCTATTTTTTAAAAACAGTTTTTAATAATAAATGTGTAGAAATACTAGTATCAATAAAGCAAAAATAATAAGATTATATTCATATCTGGGATAAATTCTTGAGAAATTTGATAAAGAATCCTGTGATTCTTCTAAAATTTTATTTATTTTGCAAAAAGTTTAAGTTGAATTGAATTACTGCTCAGTATGTTTAAGATGCTCACTGATTCCCAATTTTCTTGGTAATATTTTCATTTAGTATATATTTTCTAAAATATTCTCTTTTTAAAATTCTTGGTATAATTTGTGACAAAGGTGATAACTCTTGCGATTTCAATTGAACGTTTGACGTGACGTCAAATTTAACGTCAAAAATAAAGCGTCAAAATGACGAGTAAAACGATCCCGATGTATATCAATCATAAAAGAAAAATGGGATATGAGGCTTGGCTGTGATTATGAGTACTATACTCAGTCATTAAGTATTTTTTTTAATTAACCGGATTTAAAAACTCCGTAAAAACGCAAGACGTAAAATACCATCTCTTAAGTTTATTTCATTTCATATACAATAAATTGTATTCTTGATTAAAGCGCAGTATTTTTTTCCTGAAAATTTTATTTTACATTGCCAAAATTCTCATCATGTTCAATTGGCTATATAACATTCCGATTAATTGTCTTTATTATAACTTGTGCATTTACGATATAAGTATTGTTTTTTCTTCTTTAATTAAATAAAACAACAATAAACAAACAAAAAACTTTTTACAATTTAAAATCGATGTTGTTCTCAGACCCTTACTGATCAAAGAGGAACAACTCTGAATATGTAGGAGATGTTTGTTTTCTTCCCTTTATTCACGGTTTTCCGCATAGACAGAATCAAATACATTTACAGCAAGACCTGATAAATCCGAGAATTGAATACTATAGACCTCAAACACACAATGTAAGTATAGAATTGAAAAGAATTGTTTACTAGTACTGAAATTATCTGAATTTATGAATATCCTTTTGCAGCAAATCGCTTGACTTTCTGTCACTGTCAACAATGTTGGCTCGCATTTCCTCGAATCAAAACAAAACGTAGCCTATAAGATTTTTAAAAATATCAAAGTGCGATTAGATATAAACTAAAATAGATGAAGAGTTAAATGTTTGATATTTTGAAAATAATGTGGACGAATACGGAATTTTCATTTTAACTTTAGAGGCAACGATATTGAAAGAATGCGTACAATATCGTGAGGGGTGTACATGCATGCAAATGAAGATGTATCCCCACGGCCACATACTGTCTCGTTTGAAATAATGACATGAAATAAACTATAATTATTCCATTTATATCACAGGAGAGTTGAACATACACCATTTTGCATAACGCATACATATATGATCTAAACACTAAAATCCTTCAGTGATTTTTCCTGATACATATAAAACAAGCAGTCTATATTTATTCTGCATTCATGAATTTAAAAACTAATTAATGCATACCTCCGGGATTCAAATGACGAAACACTTGTATATTTGCACTGTGAACGACGTTTCGTCAAACGCTAATGGTCTGCGACGCAAAAAAAATGAAGGGGTGGGGTTGGTAGGGGTATTCAAAAATTGCCTAAAAATCTACATTTAAATACCTTCACATATGAGAACTTTTAAATATGTAAGTTAATATATTTTTGAAGCAAAAAAAAAAATATTCCAATTTGATTTTTTTAAAATGTGTATTTGTAGATTCATAGCAAAGTGATCGACCCCCGTCTGAAAGACGCGCGGGAACGTGATTTATTGAGAAAGGGGGAGGGGATAATTTTCCGCTATTAAATCAAAACTGGTCGTACAAAAATTATACAAAAAATTATGAAGATTATTTTTACTACCAGCTACCTAAAGAAAGTTTTTTACCAAAATTAAACGACAGGTTTTTTCACAAAAAAATTTTGAATTTGAAAAATACACAATTTTCAAGGCTTAGATAATTCATAGTTTTCAAGGTCTTTAAAAATTGTTTTGATGATAATTATATCAAAAAGATGACTATGTTTTTGTGTTAAATGGTTAAAGGAATAAGTCCATGAAATTTGACAGTTACATCTAACCTGGCTTTTTTTAAAATCAAGGTTTAAGTAGTTCATTGATTAAAAATTTTCTCTCCTTGTAAACCACTAAAGGGGGGTAACTTTTGGAATTTCCTGTCCAAAAACCACTCGAACGATTTTGTCCAAAATGTGCATACATGCAGTAGATATAGTCCTGTACTAAATATACAACAATAACGAAAATTAAACGACAGGAATTTTTTGGGGTAGGTGTGTTGTACATCCTTAAAACAATGAAAATCAGGAGTAAGGCAAAAAGGGCCTCTGACACATCAGAGGTGGGATCAGGTGCCATGGAGGAGTAGGCACCCCCGGTGTGTTCCTGCTCTTCATCGAAAAAATAGAACATTTTGTGAACAATTCAGTATGTAAAAAAAGCCCAACAATTGGTATGCAGTGTCTGTCAGCATCGACATGGCAGATTGTGTTGTCTTACAAGGTCATCGTAGCAGCCATAAAACTTGCGAAATGATATATGAACGTTTATTTCTATGGAAAAAAGCTTCAAAATTAGGCATTTCAAGGTTTATTTTCTGTGAAACGTCCAGGAATGAACCTAATGTGTGACCTCGCTCATTTCGAATTCACAGTAATATATCAAGTCAACACATACTTAGTAAGTAGTTATTGTGATTTGAAATAAAACGTCGTCGAATATCTTAAAATCGTGTTGGACGCTACTGCAGGTATTTAATGTTTTTTTAATTTGTATGGTTCAGAATAAATTCTGTCTAATTTTAAAAGGCAAGAATCTACATACCTATGGTTACATATTCTGAAGTAACTGTTGTTGGCTGTGTGGATGTGTCTTCTGTAAAAGAAATATTTTTAAAAAATTGTCTTTAAGTACACAAATTGTCTAGACTAACAATGTGTTCCTTTGTATAGTGAAACCTTGCAACATTATCCTATTAGTTTTACTTTCATATTTTTACTTCTATCACCTTTTTTCGAAAAATATATGATTTTCATGTTATATATAAGTCCTTTTTAAAAAGTATATATAAAAGTTCTGAACTTCACTATAATATTCTATGTTTTATTTCATATTATTGACTTTTCTTGCAATTGAAAACTTCTTTTGGTTATATCATAGCAGAAATAGAGGTCTAGTATAAGATAATAAAAGAAGCTTTAAAGTATAGACTTAAGAGAAATAACCCACCTTCATATGATGTCATTCACAATTACAAGTAACTTGTTTAGCATTTACCATGACAATAAAGGTAGACAACACTTGAGCAGTAATTATATAAGAATTCCTTATTGCAGCTGGAAAGGTAATCGGAGTAGCAACTAATGTTGACGGTTCTGTAAGGACCACGTGGTGTTACACTGTAAACAGTGAAAATCATTATTTTAAAATTACACTATCTTAATAGTTATTACTTTCTAAATATACATTAAAAATAAAATTAATCAGTATTGTGGATTTTACAAGCAATGTTTCTCGAAAATTTAAGAATGAAAATTAAAAGCAAAGAAAGCCAAACATGATAAAATGTTCACATTTATGAATACTTGCATTAAAAGAAACAGAAATGATATTAAATTTACTACATACAGTATAAATGTAGTAGTAATTTAATCACCATAATTCTAGAAATCTCTGCTTTTTGATCAAAATAGTTAAATAAATACGTATAAGAGGGTCGTTTTATAAATAAGGCAACGATTATGTGAGAAACTTGATATCTTGAAATCCAGATTTCAAGTTAGAAATATGTAGAGCGCTTACAGTTACTGTTCAACACTAGACGGCAGTGTTGCTACGGACTCATAAACAATACACCAGTTCCATAAGAGGTTAAGATTTTATAGAGGTCATCTGAGCACAGTATAAATTTCGAGATTTAAAACTAAAAGTCGAATATATTGGATATGGGGTAACCCATATTTTTCCTTATTATTACCAGAAAAGGGAATAACAGTAAGGTATTTCAAAGTTATTTCTTTGTTTAGAGTCCACCTTTATTCTAAAGCCTTTTTATCCGGAACAACACAAACCAAGAGCATAAAAAAATACACAGCATTTTAAGCTCAATCTTAAAATTTCTCATTATCACCATTTGAGAATTCTCCTCGCATTGAAACTAAGTTAACCTTCTAGTTTAATGAAGAAAAAGATCCAACTCTTAAAATAAAAAGGAATGACCATCCCAAAAGATCATTGATTGATTGATTGAGTGTTATTTTAAGTCCTATTCGAGATTTTTACTCATGTAGAAACTACACCATATACTGTCGAAGGGTCTCAAAGAGCTACATGTAAGTTCACTGTCCTTATATCATTTAATGATGTGTCCTTCTCTTTCCCATCTCATACATCAAAGTAAAGTAGAGACTTAGTACGTTCATTTCATATGATATGTTTTCTTTTTGAAAATCAATGTATTGGAAACCAGGCTTTAGAAAATGTAATGTTCTTAAATTCTGCAGAAAATGCCGTATTTGACTATTTTCAGCAAAGAATTAAAATATGAACAAAGCATACGATAAAAAAAAAATGTTTTTGATCTTCAGAAACCTATCTCCATTTTGTGATTGCATTTTTTAGATCAGAGGTTATGCTTTCTTTGAAATAATGAAAAAAATACTTCAACATTAGGCCATTTTAAAAGTAATTTGAAAGGTATGGGGAAAATGACGCTTTTATGACGTCATAATGCATTGACTGGAAATTTGAGTCATATTTAATAGATACATTGTCATCAACAGTCCAAGTAATAAATACTGCATTTTCAACCTAAACTGAGCAGTTTTTATTTCTAAGAAATTCTTAGGGCCAGAAAAGGCTCTTGTTCTTTTTATATTTACTTGGCATTATAAGGTTTTAAGGTCTCATTAATAGGACCTGAACGTTCCTAAACGATGACATTTTAAAGGTTTATATTTGTCAATTTTCATTTGTAATTGTTTTAAATTTCATAACCTCTAAATCAATCCCTCTGCGGAAGCAAAACATAGAAAAATAGGAATGGTCTAACAAAAACAGAAATATTATCATCGTATTTAAAAAACAGAGCTTGAATCACGTCTTTAGTCATGAGATCAGGTATTACATGTAAAGTAACCAAAAAGAAGGATCATCGATGATATGGAGGAAATAAGTTTAATAGTTTTTTTTCCTATAAGTGAAATCAAGCTACTGTTTCCTGCTTCATTTCGTTTGTCTTAAAACATTGCTGCAAAGAAGCACAGAGATGTGAAAGAAATTTCCAGGAATGTTTACATTGTACATAGCTTATTCATTCTCCGCATTCGCTAAATCTAGATTATTATTATTATTCCAGATTTTTTAGTAAACAATCAAAAGAAGATTTCACAATTTTATGTACGTCATGGAGTGTTTTATTCATCGGTATCGTTTGTGTTACCATAAAAATGAGCATTTTCAGTTGTTTTTTTTAATTAGATAATGGATACTGTACAACAATTTGTTTAGGTCTGTATTAAGATTAACAGAAATTATTTCGACGAATAAAAATTATAAAGAACCTGCTCCTTGCTAATGTTGCTCCTTGTTATTTTTTAGATTGATCTTTGCATTATTTATTAAACGACCATTTTGTATATTTTCAAGAAAGATCTTATCATGTTCACCTTGTGAAGGAAGTAGAATAAGGATATCCTTTAGCGCGACATAACACCTCCCCGTAACGGTAATTAAACGTTGCGCTGCAAACTTCCTGTCCATCAATAAAAATACGACCATAGGATCCATAGTCGATCCGTACATCCACAGCGTCTATTGAAAAAAAAATCATACATTTCATAAGCACCAGACTTTTTAACCTGTCTCGCTTTAAAACTTTTAAGAGGACCGACCGGGGTTTTCATTGCGCAATACTTCGCACATCATAGTAAAATAGTGCGTATTTATTCTTTTAAAGTCATTTTTTTCACAAAATAAATAAAATTTACTAAAATTAAGAAATCATAGGTTAAAAAAACTAATTACAATTTAATAATTATAACTGTTTTTAAAGCGAGTTTTTAAAAGATAGGTAGAATGACAACGTAAAAATGTGTTTGTGAATTTAGGATACACTGAAGTTCTTTAAAATGGGTCATTAAGAATGGAATGTTATAAAGTTAAATTATACAATATAAGCTCTTAAAATATAAAATAGATAATATTGAGAATCTCACAATATCAATTATCCATATGTATACGAGTGGCGTTCAATAAATAATGTCACCAGGGCTCGGAAAGAACAAAAAACGCTTTTGTATGAGTTTTTTTTTTTTTTTGATTTAACTAAGATATTCTTTTTTAATTAAAACACATGTCCGTAACATATTTATTTAATTTCTAATTGTTTTTAGAACACAGTTTTTAGTATGACTCTTTGTATACTGGAAAATTGCAGATTCTATGATATGCTTTATTTGTTTTTTCTTTCTGAAAGGTGTTTTCCTAAGTTTGGGAAATGAAACATGTCAAAGATTTAAAGATCTGGCGAATATTGTTGATGTGACAAAACATTAACTTTCTGTTTACCCCAAAACTCCTTTACTCTTTATGGCCTGTGGGTTTGGACACTGTCAGGAAGAAATTTAACGTAATGAATTCCTCAATTTTTTTCCCTTCCTCTCGTACACCTTTCAATTTTTTGGCAAATATCTTGCTTACTAGACTCCTCCAGAAATTGAACTGCCTCCCTATATATGAATTTGAACAACAAGACCGCTAATATTTAAGAAAATAGCGTATAAAACTGTTTTTATGTTCTTGCAAATTTTTGCTCTTCTTAGGCCTTTGCAGTTTTGTCAAGTACATCTTATTCTAAATTTGTTTTAAGGGTTTAACGCAAAATGGATTCAAGTTGCATGATCTGTTTGAATTTCAGAAAAACGTGGATAAGAACAATTTTTGATTTTTTAAAAATAATTGTTTAGATTTTCTACATGCTCTCGTTTTCACTCATTTTTAAAAATATAGGGGGACCTTTGAGTATTTAATCTTTTTAACAATCAAATTTTTCTTTAAAACAGTGTGAACTACCCCCAAAATGATGTCTATCAAATTTGCTATGTAACTTAAAGTCAATAAAACATAATCAGTGATAATTTGTTGAATTATTGCTAATATACATTGGTTGTTGTATGTCCTTCTTGACAAGGACGGTACCCAGTTTTGATGCCCATTATATAATTTTTGTTAATTGAAATCCGCCTGCTCATGTGTCTATGAAACAGACATTGGTTGCTGTATATTTCACATATTTCAGTTAATATATTTTTGGGGAAATTAACAAGTTTAACAGCAGTTTGAAAGACGCGTTCAATTTTACTCTAGTTTACTGATTCTTGACTATTCATTTTTAATGCAGTGTCTTGAGTAGCCCTTGTTTTCCACCTTCCCACAATGAAATTATGCGATAAAAAGTGGTCACATAAACTGTTATCAATTCATTAAAAATTTAATAATTAGAGAAAGTCAAGCTTAATGTCATATGATTTGTATGTTGTATGACATCGAGCTGATGACATTATTTATTGAACGCCCCTCGTAAAACTGAAAAAAGCTGCTTATTTTGACATTTTCAGATCCCCCAAGCCTGTGGAAACCAAACGGTAGAATTTTGTGTTTCTTATATATAATGTATAATATAACATTACTCATCACATATTGTAATTTGAGCTAAAAGGCTATGGTAGTTTTTGCATAACTTGCTTTGAGAACCTAAAAATTGGCCCTTTCCCATATTATCCTATAGCTATATAGCGTACCCGTATTTTGAGACGGTCCCAAAAATTTCAATAGGTGACATATCCCCTGCGAAATGATCAAGAATAATTCTTGAACTTTGAAGAAAAGTTCATGAATTATATTCTTGAATCAGCTCATGAATTGTTCATGAAGATCCCATAAAGTTAAAATTGGACACTCATGATTTCATGGATTTTATTCATGAAAACCAAGTTCAAGAATATTCAAGAATTATTTGTTGTTCATGAACAAACTTGGATTTTTAAATTGCCTGCAAAATGATCAAGAATAATTCTTGAACTTTCAAGAAAACTTCATGAATTATATTCTTGAACTTTCAAGAAAACTTCATGAATGATATTAATAGGTTCAATGCATTTTCATGAACTATTCATGAATAATTTGTAAAAGTTATTTAGGAATGTTCATGAACTATTCATGAATGTTCTTGCTTTTTGTAAACAAAAATGTAATAAATTATGCAAAATGAAAAACTGTAAAAGAAAATATTTTAATAGCATCTTGAAAGATTTCACAGAATTTTTGTTTTCCAATCATGGTAACAAAATCTTTGTTCAAGTAAACAACTCTGATTAGTGATATCGATAATAAAAAAAATATGTAGTTCATTCCTAGTAAAATTATGAAAAATTTTAATTCAAACGCGACACTTTGCAGAATCCTTAACCTTACTTGGTCAAGAGGGGTGTGGGTTCCTTATTCAGCGTATTTCAAAGTGTATGCTTAAAATGGAATGGTTTTTAATCCAAGTCTCACTGTCTGGCAGAAAAGTGTGTTCAGCAATTAGGGCATCAGCTAAAAGGGCTTTCAAGGATTTTGAGAAGAGGTGGTCAAATAAAAAAAAATTTCATCACTTGGATACTTTGATCGATTACGATTCATATTTTCATTCCTTTCTTTTGTTTTTCTTCAAGATCCTGGATTTTTTTTCTTTTGGCAGCCAGAGTTTTTTTAATCTTCTGATCTCAGCTCATCAACATTATCTGTGAACTGCTTTTCTTTTCCCTACAAGAACAAAGATTTTCTGAAAATGCTCATAAATGTGAAAACTTAACACTTAATTTTTTTTTTTTTGCAAATTTTATTCTGCATCATAGGCACTGCCATATTTTAAAGCATTCCGAGCGGGAGTTTAGCCTGTTTCCCTTGCCCGCCATGTTCAAGATGTTATAGGTGAACAGGATGAATTTTTCAATCTTTAATTATTAAATGTAACGTAATTTGGTTGGATCTTTACTCATAACACAGTTTGACAAAATTTTCATTAAAAAAAGACATAACTGAACACTTACAAATAGACAGTAACATCTTGACAAATATCTCACAGATTCAGCGATTGCCTCCATTTTTTTGTAACTCACCATTAATATCTGCAGTTATGAAGTAAATTTATCCTCTGGATATTCCTTCTTCGTATTCTGTTATTTTCTTCAAAGGTTGACAAAGAATGACTAGATCTACGCTAATAATCCTCCCACTCTACCGATTAACTTTCCAACGTCTCGAGCGTTTCAAAGTTTGCGCCTTTTAAAAAGTGTCATGCAGAGCTAATTAAGAAACAGTTTCAAATTGCCAAGATTGTTGTTAAACAAAAAATAACAAACACTTTCTGAATGATTTTTCACTGAAATTAATTTTTTTAAATTAATATAAGTTATATCATTTATTGAATTGGATTTTTTTACATTATACCTGTAGAGCCACAGTTTCGTATTTTCAAGTATGGCCGCCTCCATATCAAGAGGACAACAAATAAATCTTGGGAACCACTCGCCCTCAAACAGAGTACCCTGAGCTATGTATAGGTATATAGTGTATAGGAGAATAGACTACAAAATACGAATGTGGGTCATGCCATAGATACTTAACAACCATGCAGCCTGTGCTGTATCATTTACACACGATGGACAGAAAAATGTGACTTGATAACTGCATCAAAGTATAAAACGTTTGACCCAAGAATAGTACGGACAAGAGATATGATTTTTTTAGCTGTAAATAAATCTATGATACGTTTTTACGAAGATTATGAAATTTTTCCTAGACTGTGAGTCTGTTTCATTTTCTTACAACTTGTTAAAATTTTGACAAATAGAGAAAATTCGGCCGAACAAAGTTGTGTCTTGAAAAATGAGATAATTTAAAGCACAATATTAATATAGCTGGCCATTTTAAATGATGAAGAAACATAGGTAATTCAATATGAGAAAAAAATGCTGTCAATATTGATGCAGTGTTCTTTAAATTACGATCATAATTTAATTACAATCTCCCTTCTAGACAGTACATAACAGAGTTTTATTATCTTGAAGAATCTAAGTTACCGATTCGGAGAGTAGAAAATAGTAATTTTAACCTCTTATGTTTTCCTACTTGTCTCTGATCCAATACTTTCAAAATCAAAACAAAAGCATGTCATTAATTAAATCAGGGGTTTGTTCAACAATTGCATCTGCATGCAAAAGTTGTATAATGGGAGTAATGAGTGTTTTCTGGCGATCGTTTGTGACAATTATTTTTACATTTTTAGTCTTCATGAAAATTCATGAACATTCATTACCTTGAACTATTAAGTTTTTTTCTTTAAACTGAAAATTAACAATATTCATATTTGTTCATCATTTGTTCATGAACTATGAATTATGAATGTTTTCATGAATTTTATTCAGGAACAACTTTTATGAACCTGTTAAGAATCCTTTAAGAACCATTCATGAACAATTATGAACAACTCATAAAGGTTCTTAAAATCATGAATATCATTTCGCAGGGGATGGTGCAAATAAAAACGTTTCTTTTTTATATAGATTTTACACATTAAAACCCTAGTCGGCTCCCTTAAATTAATATTTTTCTTGTCATATTCTTCAGTCTCTTTATCATGAAGATCATGATACCAAATCAAGATCGGTAATAAAATTTATTTAAGATAAATCCCCTTAAATTGTACCAGAAGACGTTTTATTTCAAATGAATTATAAGTTTGCTTTAGAAGAAAATTCCATGCTGTTGATATTTTTATCAAACTTTTAATTTTAAATGATTAAACATTATGTACATAATATCAACATTTTAAGTGATTTCTGGGAAATAGTAATCAACAAAACAAAAACAAAAAAAAATCTATCGTAATTAACACCAGACAGTTAGAGTACATAATAACTATAATTAACTATATTATAGGCATTGTGTTGGTTATTATAATATCACAGCTCTACGCACTTTATAAACTCACATGGTTTGTCTCACAAATTAAGGCCACATTATTCTTGCAATTAAATCTAACATAATCGAACTTTAGCACTAGAAAAAAAACTAATAATGTACATTCCTAATTATGCACGTGGATTCAATTTTTGCGTAATTTTAATTTGCGAGAAGCACCACCCGCAAAATCATAAAAAATTTTGATCAAAGAGGATACTTCTGCAAAATGACTTATCATGGCTTTGTTGTTCTCAAAAAAGATTTTTAAAGACATTTTCTATATATTTCTACGTAAAATTCTGGCCCACTCCACCCCTTGTGCAACTCCTTATACTTAGGTGTTATGATATAAAACAATCTACGGTATGTTATGAAGCTTTCAGATAAGTTTCATTTCTTCTTGTCCAGTGGTTCTTGGGAGGAAGATTTTAAAATGATGCCACAAAATCTTCACGAATGCTTTATTATTTTGAAAAAGGGCGAAGCACTTCCCGTTAACAAACTTAGACCCCTTTTGTGGCAAGTTTGGTTGTTTAAATTGGCCCAGTGACTTTGACGAGAAGTTGAAAATGTGAAAAGTTTACAGATACAGATCACAGTCGGATGCTGTGCACTCTTTTATCAGAAAAGCTCACGTGAGTCTACGGCTCGGGTAAGCTAAAAAGTGTAATAAAACTCCCTAAATAATAAAAAAAAATAAGCAGACTTTAAAATAGAAAAATGCAGCTCATAGACTACTGAAATATTCCTTTCAGTTGGTCATTTCTTGAAAAAGTTGTTGACAAATTTCTTTCAACTACATTTTCAGTGATTTTCAGTGGCTTTTTCTTTTTTTCTGTCATCTGAATGATACAACATCATCCCGTGTTAAATTATTTTCATGCATAAAAAATGTCAATAAGGCCACCCTCTTCCGACTCAGGTTTAAAAAATGGACCAGTGTTATATACGTACATATAGGAGAAAAGAAATAGTTGCAAGGATAAGAAAATTCATAGATAAAAAAAAATCCCTAAAGGTTTTTAAAAAAATATTGAATCGGGTCATTTAAAGCCAGTTGATTGGGAGAAGCAATTGTTAATGGCCCAATGCACTGTACATGTAAATAGCTGTCCCTTTTTCCACGTAAAACACCTAAAATTGCTTTGGAGATATTTTATACAGGTATTATTCATTAAAGGTAACTTAGTACAAAAGCAATGAATTTATTAAGGAATACATACATACATGTATATACATTTTAATTGGACAAAGAACATTCTTATTAAAAATTAATAACCAAAAAAAAAATAATGAAATGGTAATTAAGACATAGTGAGAGAGAGAAAGAGAGAGAATAGATTACAAACCAATTGAATAGTCTGCTGAGGTCCATGATTTTTTATACGATTGAGTGGTTTCTGTGGTTGAAGAACCTAAAACTGAATAAAAAATATTTAACTCACTTGTTTCACTTGTGTAATTTTTATCCCCAAAGTGGAAAACTTAAGTTAAAATTCTTTAAAAAAAAAATGATAAAAAGAGAAAGTTTCCCTACAATATTTGCAAAGGTGAAAGAGAAATTGGCAATCAACAAAACATAAAATAAGATAAAGATAAAATAAAAGAAATTAAAAATTATATAGTGCTTGTCTCGCTATGCTAGTAACAGTTTTAAGATTTAGATATCTTACCGAAGCAGTTTATATACAAAACATTGGAACAAGGACCTCGCTCTCGAAAGTAACATTCATAAATGTACGCAGAAGAACACTGGATTTCATAGGTGTTGTTGTAGTTTCTCGAGTAAACACTGAAATGCCAAATTTTAATATTCAATTTCTGTAAGCATTTTCAATCTTGTACAGGGTATGTGCATTGCACGCTAGGTTGTGAATTTTTATGAATCTTGGTACCCAAAATTTCCTTTTTAAAACAATTAAAAGTTTTTAATCTTACAAAACATTTACATACCGTATATACTCGCCTATAAGTCGGTATTTTGGGAGTTAAATATCAATCTTAAACTCTATGTCCGACTTACAGGCGAGTCATAAAGAGATATTTTTCTGGAGGCTGAAATTTAGTATTTTATTTGTATTTCCGACTATTATCAAAGAAAATGTCTTGATATAATGTATTAAAATTCATGTATTCTTAGATTATACATAAAAAGTACACAATTTTACATATTTTAATTTTTTTTGTATTTTAAGTGAGCATTGCCTTTTTGTTTAATAATTTAAGATTAAATATCAGTGTCATTTCGAAGAATAATAATTGAAACCAGGTTTAAACATCAATTTATTTACTTGTCACCTGATTTTGGCAAAAAATTGTACCGACTTATAAGCGGGTCAATAGCAAATCCCACCAAAATAACGTCAAAAAATACAACCGACTTATAGGCGGACCGACTTATAGGCGAGTATATACGGCATTTAAAAATACATTATATAAAATACATTATATAAAATTTTGCGAACAGTTGGAACCAAAATCAATTTCTTCAACATTGTTTTGTAGACAAGTGTAAATGGAACATTTTCCGTCCCAACTGAACACCTTACACTTTTCAGTCAAAATGTGTATTCCCTATGACATTTTCTTAGCTTAGAGAAATAGACAAAGTCTAAACCAATTTTCTTAGCAAAAGTATTCTTAAAAGCGTAAAAATGTAGAGACATTGATTATAAATACTTCGACCTAAACATGCTATATATGTCTGCATTTACGTAATATATTTAGATCCTTAATTTCCAAAACTTAAGGAACAATAATCGGTCGCTGTATAACTCTGCTAGATCTTTTCTGATACCCAAGAATTTGTGCCACTTTCTAAAATTGAGTTGGTTACTACCCTTAAGGAAATCGTTCATCTTAAGTTGTGTTAGTACATGTAACGTGTAAAGGCTTCATTTTAATTTTTCGTACGACTGCATTACGTTCTATTGCATACCGGTCTTGTAGAGTAGCCCCCCTAAAAAAAAAAACTTTTCCCCCGGCAAACTGGCTCTAAAATAGGAATTCCCCAACGGACAACCGGCTCTAGAGTAAGATTTCCCCTACGGAAATCCCAATCCACAGTCAATTCCCGGGGGAAAATCCTACTCTCTGTAATAGTTATAGAGTGCAATTTCCCCCAGATCCAATCTCCCCCCCCCCCCCAATAAAATATAATTTTATTCTTTAAAGGGGAGAAGGGCGTCACACTGCTACAAGACAATGTCCCTTCTTTAAAAAGGTGACTAAATGTATTGAACATAGGTACAGCATATATTAAGATTGAAAATTAAAATTTTAAATATCATTTTTTTTTGTCAACAACCGTCTTTTTTTTTTTAGATCAGATAAATCGGTAAATAGGTTTCCTCTGCGTCTGGTGTTTTCTGTTTGCTTTAGTCATCAGAATGAAATTTACCTAATGTCATTGTGCACTTTTTATCTAACATTTGGATCTTGTACATATTTAGGGTTTCCAAGAGCAAAACATGCACTTAGCTGTTATTATTATATGGGGGGCACTGAGCTATCATTTAGTGAGCTCAGTGCTCACAGTACCTCTAGTCATTATAAAATTAAGGGAAGATGATACAAACAAAAATGGATGCCTGTATTGGTGAATATTTTGGGGCTTATTTTGGTTGCAAATGCTATAGATAATACTAAAAATATTAAACATTCAAAACTCTCTAAGATTCCACAACACGACACAACACCATTCTTAATAATCTTTACAATTTTTGTCCCTTTGAATCTAATTACGGTCAAAATTTTGAGTTCAAAATTAAACTTTACTTGGTAAAACCTACTTAAATATATATAAACATGACTTGAGTTGTTATTATCAAGATTTTTTTTAATCAAAAGTATGTTTGTATCATTTCTTAATCTCTTAATACTAGCCTTTCCTCTATAAAAAAGTATGGTTAATTAAATGAATTAAGTAGTACCTATTGTATGAGTTTAAGGAATATCCTTTTGATCGACAAAGAGCTTCCCCAGTCCAGTAGGTCACGCCTGTATAGCATATCTCATGTAAATCATATATGGAAACTCGGCCATGGGTTTCGTATTCGAATCTCACATTATATGAATGACCTAATGATTGGAAAAAAATAATGATACATGTCACTGGTTGCAAAAAGTGTCCCATCAAACGTGTTAGAACTATGAATTCATGTTATTCAAAAGACTTTTGTTTAAATCTAGACTTTTAGAATTTTTGTTGTTTCCAAATATCTTCACTATATGTTTATATATAGATATACAAACCAATTGTAAATCTTGGCCCATAGGTCGTCTCTTGAGTTGTAACATCCCCTATAATTCCTAATATAATATGTTTTTAATTTATTATTACAAGAATGTAAATAAATAGGTAATACACTACACAGAAATATGTCTTTGTAGTAAAGTGCACCTTTTCTGATTTTGTACATGCATGTACGCGAGTTATGTTCAGATATATATACAAAAATGAAATGAAAGTACATGTATTGTTACTACCGGTATTATTGAATTTCATAACAAACAAAAATGGATGATGCTCAAAAGCAACCTCCTTATTATAGTATTCGCTGCTTCATTCACATTCACATTCAATATTTCAATTTGCAAGGGTACACTTTTATCAAAAAGAATAGAGCTTCTCAACTGAGTGTTTAATATGAAAGGTGCAGCTGGTAATTTGCTTTCTAAGACAGGTAAGTAAACTAAGACAGCTTGTGGTAAATATTAGTGGATTATATAATTATGTCTACAAGTGACTATTGATAAAGGGCACTTTTTCCGTCAATAGCATTCTAGATTCTTAGATCTTTGTATTTGCTTTCATGTCCATTGTTGTTTATTGTTTAAAATGAATGTTTTTATCAATTTTCTAAGTCATTAAAATTAAACATAATTTTACAAAGACAGCACATTAAATCTTTGAAATTCAAACAATTGACAATGTGGTTTGTATCAATATTCTCAATTTTATATTTGGCGTTAACAAGTATGGCCATGCAGAACAAAAATCATTTATCAATTTGATTAATGCACAATTTTTATAAAGATGCATTTTACTACCTAAAATTAATGATTTAGGTCTAATCTGTTTTTGGTAAGTATTACTGGGTTAAGGGGTTATATAGTTACATTTCACATATTTTCTTCTTTTTTTCATAATTTACCATTTTTATTTTTATGCC